ATTTAGACACCTACTATCTCACCTTTGGCCATTTTAAACACTGATTTAAATCGAAATGACAAAAAGGTTCCTATTTCTTGTTTCGTGTAGAATTATCACAATTTATCCATTTCATAGACATCTTATAAGAAAAGTTGGACAGAACTTTAATATGGCATCTATGACACTTCTTGCCCAACCCACACACCATTTCCTGATGACCCGCACAAATGGTACAGCCTCCTGCTAGATGCATATGTGCAAACATCTGGCAATTGCAAGATATCAGTTTCGAGTGGTATTCACAAAAGAACTGGCACAGACTAATAATATGAACACATATTGCCCATATTACAAACTATGTCACTTCCGGGGGAGGACAAGCACGGAAAGGGTCAAATTAATAGGAAGGACCAGCTGATCTACATAAAATGCATTTAATCCCCTCTATAACCCAGGACCTTGAATGGATTAGAAACACTTTAGTAAAAGGCCCAGGCAAAAAACGTTCAGCGTAGTTCATTGGATTCTATTGTTTTTTTAAATAGTATTGTTTTTATTTAATAAAGTTTAATTTTTTTATTCTACATTGGATAACATCGTTTATACATCAATTTACATTCTGGACTCCTGTATATCTCATGCCTAGATTACCTATATATCTAGCCATTGTTGTACTGCATTATTGTATTTTCATTTTATCTACATATTCCCATATTGGATGTGTAGTCCAGCTTGTATCCTGAGCCGAGGATTGTACCGCCCATGCCAGTATCGGCAGAGCTCTTGAAAGTGTGAGTGTGGTCTTTTATGTGCTATATATGCAATTTTAATATTGATTATATTGCACAATGAGGGGGAGACTTCGCAAGTTTAAAACTGTTCTGTTGTGGGGGAAAGTGGTAAGACTAAGCAATCACTATGGAAACCAATGTAATGGAGGATATTTATCAAAGTGTTCTGAAAAGTGTATTAAATTCAGACGTTATTTTGATTATATTGTGTATCAGGCCCGGACTGGCCATCGGGCCATCTCGTGAGATTTGGTCATTGCCATGGCTACGCTCCGGAACCCGGCGAAGCTGCAAGATAGAGCTCCGTTGGGTCCTCTCACTCCCTCCCCAGCCGCATGTCTGTCCAAGTGGGCCGGTGAGGGAGATCTTTGATCTCCCCACCGGCCCGTCATGGAAAACAGCGGGGCCGGCGCTCGGATAGTGCATTTGCCCGGTGGGCCACGGTGGCCATGGGCCGAGGCCGGCAGGGGAGGTCACAGGACATTCCCTGCCGGTCCATGCAGGGCCGGCACTATCCGAGCGCCGGCCCCGCTGTTTTCCATGACGGGCCGGTTGGGAGATCAAAGATCTCCCTCACCGGCCCACTTGGACAGACATGCGGCTGGGGAGGGAGGGAGAGGACCCGGCGGAGCTCTATCTTGCAGCTTCACCGGGTTCTGCAAAAACTGGTAACATTCACTATAACAAAAACAATTGTTTGTCTTTAATTACATTTGGAATACTTTAATATATATTTTCAAAATAATGAATCCAACCAAATTGTGCAAAATATTCACCTAAAATCAGATCTAAAAAAATTGGGGATACATTGATTAATCTCCTCTATTGCTGAATAAATTTAGCGTTTTGTACCGAAAGGAACACCTGCTTGCCTTGATAAATGTAATTTGTATTATGAAATGGGCTTTTTTTAACAAAGAAAAAAGAGCTTGTCACTCCAATTTCTTTTTTTTCCTTTTCCAAGAAACTAAAATGGACTAATGCTATTTAAAAAAAATTTTCAAAAAAAGACAAAATTACTTAATTGAACTTTGAAACAGAACTTTCTTTATTTTTGAAACCAAAATAATGCTATGGATGCAAAAAAGATACAAATGTACACTGACAAAAGAAACACAGAAGAAGTATAACACAAAATAGAAAGTGCAAAACAGACAATAAAAGTCTTTTATACAGACTATATTTAAGCTTACAATTTATTACAGGCATCACAGTAATTAACTATAATTCAACAGTATAATCTCCCAGAAAAGAAAAAAAAAATGTTTTATGGTTTTGGGAAAAATACTGTGAAGTATATAATTTTCACTCGAATATAAAAAAGCTGTTATCAGTGGTAATTTTATAAAACTAACATTAAAGTGTGTTCATTTTGAAATTTCAATTTTTTATTTTATTTTAATTTTTTTAAACATTGCATCAATATAAAAAGTGCACAAACACCCTTGTTAAGGCACAGACATGTTCTATACAAATTATATTTACCTAAACTTGCCATTAAAAGTTTCAAAGTTACAAGTCAAATACACATGAATTGTACAACGATTGTCTTCTTGGAAAGTGTGGGGTACATGAGGATAGGATCCCGCACACTTACGGTTTACCAGGGAAATATTGGACAGAATTATTTTGGCTTGTTTTACTACAAAGTTCAGGCACAACTTTGGGAGACTGATTTTGAGCAATGTTAGAAATAAAAGTAAAAAATAAAATAAAAAGTCAAATCTAGAATTCTGAACCATGTGACAGCTTTGATTTGCAAGATTAACCAATCACAGAGGTTTTCAAGATTTTGTTCCACAGCATTCTATATAACCCTGTTGGTCTATCCAGTCATCAAGATTAGTGAATCTATTGGATAGAATTTAAGGAACCTGTGATTTAAGGCATATATTGTGGGTTATGAATAAAGATCAATATGGGTGTAAAATATGTCCCATTGAGTTCTTGATTTTAAGAACTTCCATATCGCCATCATTGTACAGAACGCTGTGCTTGTGCCCAATTAAGTAAAACCAAAGCCTTCATGAGATCAAAATCAGTATGCTACCTGTAAAAGGAGCCTCTGATGATCTATAGCAAAGTTGCAAAAAAACCTTCAACGTCAGTTTAAGATAGAGGAACAATACTTAATCATTTTAAGAATATTAAATAGAAGGGTATACATATAAATCCCTTTTATCCCAAAGAATGGATGTGTTTTGAGAAAGTGAATGCAGTAAATGTAACTTTATTTTAAAGATGGTAAATGTTCTTAGGATGAGGATATGAGATTGATACCATTAAAAGTATGACATATGTAAGAGTTTCAGAGTATTTAGTGCCTGTGCACTAAATAATTTTCCTCCTTTTCACTGACCCCTGTGTGATATTGGGTTCCTAAAATTCCTGTACGTGCAGTACACCAAATATCTAGATTAAATGCAGTATATGTGTGCGATATACTATTGGGGAGATGTGCTATTAATAAAAAGAAAATAAATCAATAAATAGGTTAAATAAAAGTCTCTTTATAATTTTTTGTTTCTCTAAAGGGTTAGTGAACTTTATTCCAAACAATGCTAGGAGTTTCAAAATTCAAGGGAGGTACATACAATGGTATGGGACATTCAGCTTATTGGTTCTTATTAATGACTAACGTGATCTCCTGATTAGGCAAAATCCTATAAAATGATTAGGCCCCAGAATTATCCTTATTGAATTGCTGCATCTCATCTCTGTAATAGGACGTTTTGTACTTTTTCCAAGTCACCTTCATAATCGTAAATTCTTTCTACCAACACATACTACACCATCAGGTGAAATTAGCAAGTCAAAATAAAAGTGGATTAGCTCTAGATCTACTTGCCTTATCAGGACTGGAATAAAAATCCATTCTGAAAACATTTGCCAAACTAATCTCAAAGTGATTCTAAAAACACAATACAACACACCTAATACACTCAAGAACAAACCACTGATTATCAACCACAGTGCTGTATCACATGTTCTAATGCAACATGTGTCTTACATCCTACTGGTACCACAAAGTTCTAAGTCTACTGAAACGATGAACAAATAATATTTCTATTAAACATCTGCTAGATAAGAAAAAGTTTTCATTAAACAATGCTGTGTTATTATACTCATTACATTAACACGTATTTTGTAGTTAAACTATTACAGAGACCAGACCAAAATGAACAAGACACTACAATTCTTGTGTAAATTGTCCTATACGGAGCAGTGGGTGAAAAAAAAAAAATATATAAGTTTAGGGATGAATGGTTTGGTTTTATATTGAAAAAAATATCTAGTTAATATACACCTACATACATAGCAATGTGCTTAATGTATCAATAGTGCTTCTAATTCCAAAGTTAGATCTGCCACTAGACCAAAAAAAGACCTGTTTCTAAAACACGCTGTTTTGTTTCCCTTGTTCACATCTTAACAGAGGGTTTCTGATTTGTCCCTCTTGGTGTAACTGTATCTAGTATCACAAATTCTTGAATTTTACAGCTGTAGAATCAGTGGTGGCTAGGCTGCATTAGCATAGTTCAGTCCATAAAGACAAATCCCTTTGTCTTTGGACCAATTATGTTTGCTAGGATGAACATAGACTCCCAACCTCTAGAGGCCAATATCTGGTCAACAGAATTGCACAGCTGTATTCCAGATTTCTGTTGTCATTTTATTACCAAATATTTAAAAAAAAACAAAAAAAATTTTTTTATTTTTTTTTAGTTTTTTTGGCATCTGCTGGTCAAGGAATATTTTAATGTAGGCGCACCAACACAACGTGCCAATAAGAGATAATGGCACGAATTTCCATATATAAAAAAAGTAACAGGTTAAATGCTGGTACTGGCAAAGTTTTAGGACAATAATATTTAGGGTGTTATTTTCTACAACCATCTGTGTGTGGTAGAGTGGGAAGAGAGCAGGCAACATACGAAAATTCCATGTCATCAAGATAAGTAGCAGAACAAAGGATCAAGAATGTAATGTACAAGATGACCTTGTTAATAATGAAATGATTAAATACTCTCTGGTTGTTACAGAGCAGATCATCCTAAAGAAAGATTGATGAACTGTGAGAGCAAAACTAATCTTCCAGCAGATAAATGTCCAGACCTGGGCTCTAAACCATTGGGACTTGCTTTGAGTTGACCACAGCAAAAGGGCACCAAGGGATCTATATTGTATTAGGAGAGATAAAACACAGATGTCTAGAGTCAAGGCCTCTGCAAATGGACTATCAGAGATGTAATTAAGTAGTAATCAAACTAAAGTGCCACTAAAGTTTGGAAAAGGTAAGTTTATTTAATTCCCCATATCAATGTGTGTGTGTGTGTGTGTGTGTGTGTGTGTGTGTGTTTGTTTGTGGGGGGGAAGGAGAGGGGCAACATAGTTCTGGGCATAAAAAATGTTGAGGTATCAGCACCAGTCTGCAATACCCTGAAATACTGTTATACACAAAGTGTAAGTATTACAAGCAAGGTACATCCTACAGTGCATTACACAGACATATTTATGTTCTTTTAAGATTTTTTTTTTTTTTTTAGAACTTATCATAGAAGGATTGCAAGTATAATCTATCATTTTTTTTATGGTCTCCAACACATCAATTTTTAAGCACATATTTTAATTTCCAGGCATCCCTTAAGTAAATTTACTAATGTCAGGAGCTGGCTTCAAATAAAAGTTGTGCATTTTTATTTATTTTTTAAAATTCTCCAGCAAGAAGATGCACAAACTTCGAACAGCGATATAAACCTGAAATGATACAGTATCTTGCAAAACTTCTTACTATTGTAAAAGAATGTTCCAATCTTAGAATTGTAATGGTTATTTCTAAAGTTACAGTGAGTGACGATTCTTACAGGTTAAAGCACAAAGGTTTCTATCATTGTAAAATATAGCATATGCATTTGAAAGGTACATGCAGGAGATTTTCACAACTGCAAACTTCAGTCTGTACGTCCGTAAGATAAAACAATTGGGTGACCCATAATATATATGCATCTTTTTTTTTTCTAAACATTACACTGTTCCATATGTAGAATAATTGTTGATTTAAATGTTCCCGCTACCTTTACTAGGAAGGATTAAATAGACACGTCGCTTGAGGACAAAATTACTATGTGCTGGTCATGGGCAGAATCTAGATCACACAGTAAGTTAGTATAAAGGAAAGGTAGAGAAAAAAAAAACCTGTTTGAACGGAAGTAGTCGTTGAAGTTACAGACTCGTGCAGAATCTTATTTATACACAAAAACAGTTTTTTGCTTTTGCAGGACGCAAATTACACTTGTGTTGTCAAATGGTACACGATTTGCAAGCACTACATGTAATACCAACATTAAATAGCCAATTAGATCTGATATTGTGTAAATTATTATAACTGTACTGTCACCACTTTTAATTTTGTATTCTAATCAAATATGTAACTAGTAAGTTACAGCCATTACTCTCAGAATTTTACAGTTAAATGTATACAAATGACACAATTAAAGTAACTACAAGCATTGCTTACAAAAGATACCACGTGTAAATGTCAAGAACTGTAACCTCCCATGATCCTGAATTCATCATAAAAAAATACATGTGCAAGGGCTACTAAGATTTGTATATTTTGATATCGCCATCCAAGGATCACAGGAAATAAGAGTTCAACATCAGCCAACAATGATTCTCTCGAGGTCTCTGATGATCTCGAAACATGTATAGGATAACCAAACAGAACTTTTATTTTTATTTTTTAAATAAATAAATCTTTATTTATAAGAAAAAAATGTGGCTTCTTCAGTCAAAATATTTCAAGGTCTGTGGAATATGTGGGGGTAAATGTTATTGATTTACCTACTCAGATGAAGGAAGGGTCTATAACAAAAGACATAGATAGCAACATCATCCCTTTTAGTTTTGAATGGCTACATTTCCCAGTAATTATTTAAATCACGTTACATTTTGCACAAATTCATACTTTCACTGAATAACTGAAGTAAGAATTCACAAGATTGGGGTGTTTAATAAACCCTTTCAATCTAATATCTGGGGTTGGTCATCCAGTTAATGTATCATCTAAATGCAAATTTAAAGGTCACGTGACTAGTGGTGCGATTTGAGAGAAAGCTCTTTCTTTGGGTCCTATAGATACTGGGCACCAGAAAAGGAACTCCGAATAGCTGGACATGGGTGGTTACTATGCTATTGAAGGTAGGTTTGTTGCCATAGCAGCAGAGAAAGCATCTCTTAACTAAATGTGGAAAGTGATTTTATATAGAAGGAGGCAATACCAAATACAGTGTGCCTGGCTTGCAACATGAGAAGGCACTACCACCTGATTTCAGTCGATACTGGCAGCAAAATTGTTAAATTGAAGTTGCCTTAGGGGCAGAGTGGGATACATTTTGGTCTAGTTGCACCCCTGAGTAAAGGCATCTCTGCAACTGTTACTTTCGGTTCCCAACACACTGTGACAAATGGCTTTACAACCCTGTACCAGATTTAATGACTTATTCTCCGCTGACAATGACTAATAATGGTCTACTGGTGTGCAGACCTCTTCATAGTGTAAATCCCAGAGCCAAACATTATAAAGCACAATTTCCATAAAGGGAAAAATCCCTGATATTCTTTTTCTTTTTTTAAATTCAGAAAAGTCAGCATTGAAGAAAAAAGAAAAAAAAAAATATTCCTATGTACTATTCTTACTCCCAGCATTTTATGGACGGTATGTTTTGATAACATCTTTGATGACCCTTCGGCAGATAGGACAGCAGGCATTGACCTGCCTCTTCAGCTTCATTCCACAGCTACTGCAGAGGCACATGTGTCCGCAGGTGTAGATCACGGTTTCAACCTCATTGTCAAAGCACACGGCACACTCTCCATCTTTGTTTCCCTGGGGTTCTGGTGGAACAAATACTGGAGACACCGGAGGGCTCAAAGGAGAACTTGGAGCAGTCACTAAAAAAACACAGTTAGAAAAATAAGAGGAGAAACAGAAAACTTAAACATTACCGAAGAGGTGGATAGACCTCGTTTAGCAGAAACTTCAAACCTTCTGGTAACCTAAATCCATGGCCTTCCCTAAATCCTCTCCTTACTGACAGTACTTATTATCAGCTGACTAAAAGTAAGAAATGTTCATCAAAATACATTTATTCCACCATATCAACTAAAAATAAAATATCCTGGCATCTTTAGAACAATGAAAAAGACAGAGAGGTGAATTTTGGCCATGCGGATGAAGACCTTTGTTGGAATTGGCACATAGAGCACAGTTTGGCTGGCTTAACTGGTTTGGCTGAAGTAACTGGATTAAATCTAAAATCTCTAACAACTATTATACTTTTTGAAGAAAAAATATAAATAAAATTTACAGTCAGTTTCTAAAAACATCAGCAAAACCTCAATTGGCAACTGATGCACTTTAGGGACTAAATGTTCTCATTGGGAACCATGTTTGAGATCCCCAAATGTAGGGAGATATATCATATCCATTTAAAGGGAGCCTGTCACGACAACTTTAGCTCTCAAGTGAAGAACATTGTTGCCAATAGAAAATTAAGAATAATCTGAAATAGTGAGACCCTGGAAAGCAGTGGAATTTTCCACAGAATTCCAGATTCTATTGTGACTGTGCCACTTTTAGACATTTGGCCAACTTAAACTTTTATAAGCTTCCCACTTTGTCCTTACTAGTCAATTCCAGTGCTTAACACGTACCAAGAGAGGACTCAGAGGCTGAAGAGGAACGGTTTACGCTAAACACCATATCCGAATCACTGTCATATTGAGATCCACTTGGAGAACCAGAAGGTGAAAGAACATTAGACTGTACAACACCTGCAAGAAAAAAAATGAGAACAAGTTGTATAAATAATTTTTTTTTTTTTTTTTTTTTCAATACATTTTAAGGGAGTAACCATTATTATCATTTGTAGAGTACAGATACAGCAGTTACCATGCAAAGTCATAATATAACCTACGTATTTGCGGTCTAATTGTATTTCTTTTAACTATCTCAAAGGTTTTCGACTACAATCGGAGCAAGAGCACAAATGACTGCCATGTGTAGATTTTTGTTATTTTACAGATATATATTTAGAAAATTGCCAAAGTGCATGTTTTAACCACTTTGAACCTTTGTTTGTTTGGTTTGATATATTTCCCATCTATTCTTGGAATACAGAAGTAGCTGACTGAAAGTAATAAGTGGTATGACCCAAAACCACCAGGTCTACACATATAGACACACATTGCATACCCCACATCAGCTCCCACATTGGTTCTCCCACTAAATGCTTGCTTTGAACAACGACCATCTGTTTAAGTGAATAAGCAGCCAGCACATTGTGTGACATCCCACACAGAAGACGTTCTCTCAAGAGTCGGGAAGCTGTTTCAGACACAGGGCACACAATCTATCCTAAGGTCTTGGGAAACACACTTTGTCTCATGATATTCATTGCCGAGAGGAAATTAAAAAACCACAAAAGCCTCCCCCACATCGGGAACACAGCAAATTTGTTTCTCTCCATGAAACATACCATGCAATATAGGATGCCTTAATTTTACACTGTTGCACGTGAAGGAAAGAATTTACTTAAATACAAAAAACATAAGGAACATTTTCACATCGATCATTGATTTATGATTCATCATGTGACCTATATATAGGATTTAGATTCTGCTTAATGTTGCTGGATTACATTATATAAACATTGCTATACATGGACATTTTTGGCAAATAACCAATATGCAGCAATAATCTATATGTAGCTCTTCCGACAGAAGCCCATGGGCAACTCTGCAATAGTCTGGTGTCCCACAATTTATACCTCATATGATATACATTAGATATAGTCACTCTAAACAGGTGTAAGTATGAAATAGGGTATGAATAGGGATGGTTCCAGTGACAGAATAGGAGTCAGTGGTGACATGCAGTGACTGGAAAATGGGCTCTTTCAATCTGGCACGCATATTTGACAAGTTAACGGACAATTCTACTGGTAAACCAGAGTTTAAAGTACTTTTGCACAAACATATTGACTTGCTCTTGCTGAGTTTTTGTGCAACTGTTTTGGTGAGTGAAGAAAAAAAAAAAAAAAAAGGAAGGTGGGCAAGGGGGTTTCAAATAAGGAAATTTCCACCACACTGGTACAGTGCGAGTCCACCATTATTTTGGACTATGTATTCATAGCCAAACTCCCGCCACTGCAAGCGTTATAGGACCTGTGCAAGCTAAGTCCTTCAGATTTTCAACCTGGGAGTAAAATATTGGATTGCATTTTTAGGTTTACAACAAAGAATATATAAAATATATTTATAAAAATACATATTTAAATTATACATTATATCCATGGTACATCTATAATAATGAAAAGCATGCAGCATACGTACCCATGAGCCTTAGTTGGTTGACAATCCCATGGATAGAGAA